CTGAACTTCGAACTTCATTTTATCACTGATTATAATTGTTGGATGCCTCTTGCTGTGTACTCTGTCCATTCTACTGAAGTGGCAGTGTGTGGGGTTTCATTCTCGTAAAAAACAAACTAGTCTCCTTTCTTATTGAAAATTTATATTTCACGTTTTCTTGTTCAGAGGTTTCCCAATTCAGAGGAGAGTTTGGTTTCTGCAGCTCGAGTAGGAATTGCTCTCCAATGTCCATGCCCAATTTGATGTACGAAATAATTGGATATTAGTAATGTTGCAACAGAGCAAATTTAAGTCAATCACAAGCTTCCTAAATGAGCAATGTTCTCTATTTCGGGACACGGATATGGTAGTCTGGTATAAGAAACTACTGTTTCTGGATTCAGCTTTCTCATGTAGAACATTTAGAACAATGTTTTTTGTAGAATTAGTCTTTCTCAATTCTGGTGATTGTTCCAGTACTTGTAAGCATTTCGCATTCTTTACTTCCACGCTGCTAAGGATGAAAGACCAATTTTCCACTACTGGAGAATCCTAACTCCAAGCAACTGTCAACGGTCCACAAGAAAAAACTTGTAATCATGGTTATCCAGTGCAATTTCATTCTTTTCTGCATATAAAAATCGTTAAATGAAGTCAAATCATTCACAAGAAAAATCTACCCGCAATATGGATCTTGAGCATCGTTGATCAATGAATACTTGGAGGATAAATGCAAGCCAAAATCAGTAGTGGAAGAAAAGAACGGGGAAGGAATAAGAGTTGGAAGCAAATGGGTCTAGTTGCATTACAAAGAGGAATGATTTGACCTACTTTGTAATCTTGGTATTACAGCCACTCCTAGCTTACTTGTTCATTGGGGTGCTGCCACTTCCAACACGCTGTATACATGCATTAATCAAAAGCTGTCTTGATCAGCAGAGACTTTCCTTGACAATTCAGGGACCACTTCGGTGAAACATGTTTCCTGAAAATCGAAGGACTTGTCCACATTCCTGAATCAAACAAAGCCATATATGCATGATGAATAACAGAATCGTGAAAGGATTTGCTGATCCATTGATCTGTCGATCCTTGGTTTCAGACATCGTCTTGGAGATGTTGAACTGCCTTCATCCGCTTCCGCATTAAAATCACAAGGTGATAGTGCCCTTATAGTGCCATTCTCAAAGATGTCGAAAGACAAACTCGATTCTGAAGACAGTTTATGGGGTTTTTTTTTTTTTAATATCTTCATAAGTATCAATATGTGTACATTTCAGCTCCTAGGAGACATAAGTTTATTTTATCCCGAAAGATGTCCATCGGAGTATATTAATCACTAGTAAATATCACTACTAAACGATTCTTTTTCTTCGATAATTAATTAACTCATTAATGGTTAAAGTATGGCGAAAAGCAGCTAAATTATGCTATATGAATAGGAAAGGACGGGTTTTGGAAGTGGACAGCTCGAGGACTTAATTTGATGTGTTCCCGTAGATAATATATAAGGTCAACGGAGACTAGCAATTAATATTCAAGTATGGTGGAAAATCTTAAATACCATCATATTCCAGTGTGTAATCTATTAAGGTGGACGTGAAGGGGAGTTGATGATACTTTGTGTTCTCTTTCTATGGACCTTTCTCAATTAAACTGTGTAAACGCTTTCCAAATTAGACGTCTTAAAGGATTTCAAGTGAAACACATGTAAATCAACAACACGAGCCTAGTGCTTGCATGTCTTTCGGAATCTCTTTCTTTAACTTTTCCTTAGATTGGTCAAAGGAAGAGCAACTCAGCAACTACCTTGAAATTAATGGTCTTCCCATATGATTATAATAATCATACACTCGAAAAAGTCTTGCGTAAATAATGCGTGTGATTCACTATGGACTGGACATTAGTCAATAATCACGTCTAAACAAGTTATGGTAGGACATCCGTACAAATTATATTATGGGAACTTTTGTTGTCTATCTTTTTTGACCGCTGCTAATCGGCTCTTTTCTCGTAGAAACTTAAAGTTTAGTCCCTATCTTCTTTCTTTTTAATTTTACATTGACAGGATTGTGTTAGTTTTGAAAACTTTTTCTATTGCGGTTTCACAAAAAAGAAGAAGAAGTGAAGACGTAATTTTTTTTCATTTTTTAATATATATTCGGTTGGTGGAAAAAAATTCGATGAGAATGGAGATACTGGAAATCATATTTTCATTTTAGGCTAAGAAAGAATGAAAACGAAAAATATTTACATTCCGTGAGATTTAACGAAAGCTCGCTTTTTTTATTTTCATTTGGATGTTGTTTCCAATCATCTCCTTTTCCCATCATTGTTTTCTTTCTCTTACACGACAATGAAGGTGGCAATTTTGACAATTCTCATGGACTAAATATATATGTACTTGATGTTGGTTTATATATATAGATTATCGTTAGGATGAACATTTATTAGCTATAGAAGAATAGATCTACATCTAAATGTCTTGTGCAAGTAACATTAATTTATGGGCATTTTTAACATGTCGCGGGTTGATTCATAACAAAGTTATCGGGCTCAATTAGATGCGACCGTTGATCCGATAATTGATAATGATTATCAATCAATGTCTAACAATCATCATCAGTCATTCAATCTCTTGTAATGAGCTCAATGATTTTGCAATGATTATGGCATTGTAGAAAGGTCTAAGGGGTTGTAGGGGCCTAATTTTTTCGAGGAACTCGGTACAAATTTCAATATATGTAAACAATATAATCTATGATGATGCCTAACTTTCATATATCTCCTTGTATATTAAGTACAATATTTTATCTGGTTGGAGAGAGAAAGAGCAATCTTACCTTATAAACTAATGTCAATCCCCAAGGAAAATAAATTATCCAGACCCCATACACTGTTGATCCTCATAAGTTAAATGACACGCAAATCCTTCATGAATCCTACGTCCAAATGCTTCCATGCTGACAAGTGACGAAAATTGTCCAAAAAGTAGAAGTCTCTTTCCAACTTTTCTAATTTCTCCTTTTCACATTGACTTTAAAGACTTGGAAAGTTAGAAAGTGGACCTCGGTGTGTGGCACACTATCGTTTTTCCTTATAAACTAGTATACGTCCCAAAGTAGCCCATAAGCTATTAAATTCGTAATTTAAAATTAAATAATTATTTCATATGAAGAAAAAAAACGGCCAAAATAGGTGACAATTATTGCCATACTTTTCCAAACTTACATTGAAATTGATAGACTTTCTTTAACTGGGTGTTAAATCCTTATTAAAATAGGTATATTGTGTGCTCAGCTCCCGATTTTCAAGCTTTGGAGATCCACACAGCTTCTTCCTCATGTGAGTACTATATTTTGATTTTATGGGATAAACATCTTCCTAATGTCCTGTACATATACCTTTATTTTTCTTTTATTTTCTTTTTGATGGTTACTTAATAGTATGGTACTAGTTTCTGATCAATTTTATCCATTGCGGTGGTTGTACATCTCAATTCCTTGTCATTTGCTTCAACAACACACATTTATTCTCTCTCTCCCTCTTTGTCTCAAAATGATTGCAATTTCCCGTGCAGATTGCCCAACCTAGTGACCATGGTAATCTTTTCTCTGTCTTATTATGATTCTTTTTACTAAATAAGTTGTAGAGAAGTTTGTCCATTTATGTATTGGCATTATAACAAATGCAGGAAAAAAGACTTGCGATGACAACTGTAAATTTCATTTGCAATGAAATCACATAAATCAATGTCTTGATATTCATTAAGCAATATCATCGTTCTGGAAATTCTATTTTATAGTATTAAACCACTGATAACAAATGTTCTTAAAAGTTCGATCTAAGTTGCTAATCTGTTAAAAAATGTTATTTTGTAAACAATTCCTTTGCAAGGTCCTAAGGTAGAACAAGTGTATCATACATGTGTCTATATATATATTAAATTTTTCATATCTTTTAAATGGCTGAATTTTTGCTACTTTTTCCATGGATTATGAAGATAGTGAAGATTAAGGCTAAGGTATGTATCTTTTGTTTTTAAATTTTTTTTTCTAAATGTAATGAAGATTTACTCATTTCAAAAAGTGAAAGCGACACTGAAAATAAAGGATTACCCGTTTTATGATGTTATAATTCTGTAGTTTTCTATTGACACCTATTTTGACCAAATTAATGGATATATGGGTGACGTCTAACGAAGAGCAATTTGGAAAGAACAAGTTGATGTTGATCAGGATTCCTAAAGAAAATAGAATCACCTATATTGACAACCTGCACGATCATATTTCTTACTTTGGATCTAGTGTCGTTGATGCTATGAAATAGTGTCTTTTCATGGTTAATGTGTTTGGTATAAAGTCATCTTATTAAATATTGTAGATTACGTAAGCATACTATAATTTAAAACTAAATCAAGTTTGTTTGTGCATCTTTCTATGCATTTTCCCTTAACCCATTGATATTAATGGTTGAGGATTAAAGTGACTAGGAACAACTTCTCCACCAGAGAGAGAAAATCATATAAATGCATTGCCTAAAGAGAATAACATTTTCGTTGCAAAAATTATGTCAAATTATGCTATAATAACAAAATCCACCGACCATAACAACATTTTTTCATTTCAAACAATTCTATGGAAACTAATTATGGTTCAAAAGTATTAAATGGACGAAATTTATTGACTATAACGACTACTTTTTTCCAAAGGCAGCATGTACGAGTTATATATAGATTTGAAGGTGAAGTGCTTTATTCGTGTGGGACCCGGATTGGACCGGGTCGAAGAAAGAATTCCGCCCACGCGGTACACGCTGATGGTGATCTGTGACTAGTGAGTCAAGATACTCACTTTTCTGACTTTGTTTGCAGTTAACAAAAGAAACAGAAGTAAATGAAGAAGAAAAGCGCTTCAAAAAGCCGTCCTAAAAAATGCACACCTTGTTATAGATCTCTTGACAGTTTCCGTTGGCACTGATCCTGCCTCTTGTTTCTTCTTGCCTTCCTTGGGCTTTGAGTAATGAAGCTCGTAAGCATTAGTTTTGCTGCGTTTCAATCATGCCACTTGCTTCTCGGTATTGCTCTTGCTCTGTGCTTGTACCAGGTCTCCTCCACCACCAATGAAACAGACAAACATGCCCTGCTCGCATTTAAGGCCGGCATAACCGCAGATCCTTTCGGCGTGCTTAACTCATGGAACCATAGCATTGGGTTTTGCCAATGGTATGGCATTACGTGTGGCCGGAGGCACCGGAGGGTCACGGTCTTGGACTTGTCATCACAAGGACTCTCCGGGCCAATCTCTCCTCATATCGGAAACCTCAGCTTCATAAGGGAATTGCGGCTCCAAAACAATAGTCTCGGTCATGTAATCCCTCCGCAAGTCGGCCAGTTGCGCCGCCTGTGTATTCTACGATTGCACAACAATTCATTGGTTGGGGAAGTTCCCAGAAACATATCGGGTTGCTCGGACTTGGTCCTCCTCAGGCTTGGGGTCAACAAACTAACCGGAGAAATTCCTGGAGAGCTCGGTTCATTCCCGAAGCTACGGCAATTTGATTTGTATGATAATAATCTAACCGGGAGTGTGCCTTCCACCATTGGGAACTTATCTTCACTAGAGGTGCTTCTTTTAGCCCTAAACAACTTGGGCAGGAGCATTCCCCAAGTTCTAGGCCACCTGACAAACTTGCAACGGATTGGCCTGGGATCAAACAGATTGTCAGGTACAATTCCATCTTCGCTACTCAATCTCTCTTCGCTAACTTTCTTTGATGTTGGAGACAACCGGATACATGGGACTCTTCCTGTAGGCATATGCCTCAAACTCCTAGACCTTGATTTTTTAAGTGTTTTCATGAACCAAATTGAGGGGTCGATTCCTCCATCGGTATCAAATTGCACGAAGCTAGAAGTGCTTCAACTTGATATGAACAGATTTTCCGGGAAAGTACCATCTTTGGAAAATTTGTATAAGCTTCGTAAGCTTCGCATCTATAAAAATCAGCTTGGAAGGGGAAAACATGAAGACTTGAGCTTCCTATGCTCGTTGACTAACAGCACCAAGTTAGACGAAGTGGCTATTCACCGGAACGAGTTTGGTGGGGTATTACCTAAATGCATAGGTAATTTATCCACCACGCTCACAAAATTTTTTGTAATGGACAATCAAATATATGGTGAAATTCCAGAAGAAATCGGGAATTTGGTCAACCTGGAAAGATTGTTTATGGGTCTCAATCCACTTTCAGGTGCTATCCCCTCAAATTTGGGGAATCTACAAAATCTAGCGATGCTTGGGCTAGGTGATAACAACCTGGCAGGGACTATACCATCATCTTTGGGAAATCTAACCAAGTTGATTATACTAGACCTTTCTGGGAACAACTTTCACGGGAGAATTCCGTCGCACCTATCTAACTGCCGGTCTCTTCAATGGCTTAGTCTATCGAATAGTAATCTCAGTGGTGCCATACCCCCACAACTCATCGGTCTCTCGTCATTAGCGATCATTTTGAACTTGTCTCGTAACCATCTGACTGGGGTTTTGCCCACAGAAGTTGGCAACTTGAGAACTTTGACTGCGTTGGACATCTCGAACAATTTGTTGGTTGGTGAAATCCCAAGCAGTTTAGGTGACTGCACTTCATTGACATCGCTAAAGTTGGGGGGCAACTTCTTCCATGGGTCAATTCCGCAATCAATCAAATCGTTAGGAGGCATTGAAGAACTAGATCTTTCACGCAATAATTTGTCGGGTCAGATTCCAGAATTCTTATCGGTATTTCGTTCCTTAAAACTTTTGAATTTATCGTACAATAAGTTTGAAGGCATGCTACCATGTGAAGGAGTCTTTAAGAATGCTACCGCTATTTTTATTATTGGGAACAATAAGCTCTGTGGCGGACTGCCAGAATTTCACCTCCCCGACTGCATCTCCAAAAGCTCCAAGCGCAGAAAAATCAATATAGTGATATTGTCTGCTTCTCTTGTTTTTGGAGTTCTTGTAGTAGCTGTTATTCTTGCTTTTATCTATCATTGTCGGTTGAAGAAGAAAGTAAATGAACCAATTCCAAGTTCGATGGATGGTTCACCTCCGAACGTTTCTTATGGAACACTCCTAAAAGCAACTGACGGATTTTCTTCAACGAATTTGATTGGTGTTGGAAGCTTTGGTTCTGTTTATAGGGGGATTCTCGAGGACGGCGGAACTCTTGTTGCCGTGAAGGTGCTTCATTTAGTCCGTCACGGTGCTTTGAAGAGCTTCATAGTCGAGTGCGAAGCATTAAAAAACATTAAACATCGAAATCTTCTGAAGATATTGACAGTTTGCTCGAGTATTGATTATCAAGGATATGAATTTAAGGCCTTAGTCTATGAATTCATGGGCAATGGAAGCCTAGAACGGTGGCTACACCCAAACACAACATCATCTCACAAGAATGAGCTTTCGAAAAAGTTGAATTTCATTCGGAGGATAAGTATTGCTATTGGTGTTGCTTCTGCACTGGATTATCTTCATCGCCAGTGCCACTTCCCCATTCTTCATTGTGATCTAAAGCCAAGCAATATCCTCTTAGATGATGAGATGGTAGCACATGTTGGTGACTTTGGATTGGCCAAATTCCTTCTTGGATCATCCCTTGATACTGTAGCTAATCAGATGAGCTCAGTGGGTTTTAGAGGGACAATTGGTTATGCTCCACCAGGTAATCTCTCTACTTTCTATTCTAATGATATGAGCTCCATGTTCTTTTTGATGATCAACACTCTTATTTTCATCTCCCCTATGGTCAAAATATGTGGCAGAGTATGCAATGGGATGCGAGGTCTCAAGAGAAGGTGATGTCTACAGTTACGGCATCGTCTTGCTAGAGATGTTCACAGGATTGAGTCCCACCGACAATAGATTCAGAGACAATTTGACTCTTCATAGTTTTGTCGAGGCGGCTTTGCCTAAACGAGTGTTAGAAGTTACGGATCGGATTCTGCTTCTAGAAAGAGAGAGTCGTTTTGACCCCGATAGTCCTCAACATTGGCTCTTCGAAAGCAATGACATATTTCAAGATTGTTTGGTTATGGTATATAATATTGGAGTCGCTTGTTCCAATGAAGTGCCTAGAGGACGGATGAGCATCAACGGTGTTGCAAATCAACTGCAAAAGATTAGGGAAAAGCTTTTTGCACTGGGTTTACGTGAACAAGATGAATTATCACAGGTGATATGATAACTTCTTATCCTCTCCCTTGTTTTAAATATTTAGTTTTGCTTATGCTAGTGCAAACATACATGGAAAATGTGAAGCAGAATATAGAATCAATCGTGCATTTTCAATAGAAGGTAATAGTTGATCGTCTTTTCTTGTCTGTACCCGTAATAAGCTACCATATGCCCCACTGTGCACGGACCTTCATGTAATATCGTTAAAACTTGTCTCGAGTTTGAGAACATAGACGAAACTTGACCCTATGAAGTGCGGGAAAGTCAGGCAGTATAAAAGAATCAGAATTGGACTTTGAAAATGTATAACAGGACAGAAGCAGTCGATTCTGTAAGGAGATAATAGTTGATTTATCATTCCTCATCCTCACAGATATTGCACTAGCATGTGGTCCATGATGCACAATCTCGAGCATTGCTATGATATTTTATTAAATCAGTGTGAACAAATATTCAGTTTTTTTATCGGTATGAAGCTCATTTAGACGAATACAAATTAATTAACCATCGGCTATTTTCAATTGATATCCATGATCAACCTTTTCGAATGAATGAATAATTGTTCTTAGGACTTTATTTTAACGCAGTAACATTGTGGGGTTTCCTTCACGTAAATCCTAATCTGTCTCCTTTTTTGTTGGAAATTTATCTGTTCCCCTTGCAAATCCTAGCTTTTGTCCAGGCTTTCTAACTCAGAGGAGTGCTTGGTTTCTTTCTACAGCTTCGCTAGGAATCACTACGCGTTGCCGAAGTTGTGCGAGACAGTTGGAGATGAGTGATGTTGCAGTCAAGCCCAGTATCTCTTTCAGATTCAGCTTAAATAAGCAAATGCTCTGTTTTTGAAGAAAAGAATGAATAAGTAATGGTTTAGCATAAGTAGTCTATCCCAATTCTGATCATGCGATCTGTGCTAGTTGTGTTTCTCTAATGGGGAATGGATCTCCAAAACTGCTATTTCTAAAGTATGCCAGTTTCATTACTCTTGTTTTGCCAGAGTTTTTCCTTCTCTCGTTCATTCATTTCTTTTCACAATAGAACTTGTTCGATTGATACAAAATGCGTTGTGTCTGCTATCAATTCTGACCAACCAGAAATCACCGGCACGTACCATCATGTCCTCATCAAGGAGAATACTAATCGGCTTAAGACCAGAACGAACTATAACCATTTCACTATGATGATAGACATAATCCCACGAGTGTGATATCGATGGCAATGCTCTCAGTCTCTGAAGTGAAGACCCGTATTCTTCGTCTCATCACGTCTTTCATTCCATACTCAATCCTTTTCCAAGCTTCCAACGACCAAAACTCCATAAATAACGGCCTCCAAATTGTGGCCAAGATGATTGGCACATTCCTGAACAAAGCTCGACTGGGCACAATGACCCTGACCAAAATTTACCTCGAAATTCATCTGTAGCTTTCAAAAGGGCTTTCATAGGACACGACTGGAAGAGAATTCTTGGAAGGAGTTTGAAGTAGAAGACTCTCATTCTGAAAGTGTGCCAAGGATACTAATGACCACCAACACTGTTACTCCTAACAGCACTGCAAAAATTAGGCACCCGCCAGTTTGAAGGACATGCCTCCCTTTCCTCTTCTTGGATAGCTTTCAAGGACACACCATTCTAGAAGTAATTTGCTTGAACTGTTTTCATATTTGGGATTCAAGTTTTGTTTCATGATTAGCTGTTACTTAGTGTGCATAAGTCTACTATTGAGCACCTCAAATTGTTAAAAACATACCTTCACCTCATTTAAATTTTTTCTATGATTAGTTAAAACTAATTTTCAAAGGAAAACCTTAACTCGGGAGGCAGGAGCTTAGCAGCCAACTTGAACTCGGGGGGTGGGGACGCTAGTATCACAAGTGTAGAGTTCGACTCCCGCGCTTTGCAAGAGGCAAAACAAAAGTTAGACACTGATGAGAGTTAGAGATAGGACAGACAAAAAAAAAAAATTTGTTTGGTAAGTGTAATTTGAGTGAATTGCACTTGTAGTCACTAAGTTTCGATGTATCTCTTATGACGAAGTCATCGAACTTGATTTTAATCGCCCAATATATTAAATATTCGTCCTTTGCAATAATGTGTTTTGACACCAGTTTTGGTATAAGATACCAACATGGCCACCATGCCTCATGAAGTCTAAGTAGATACCACTTTTTTTTTCCCACTTTGAGCTAACTTGAATAGTAAGTCAATATCATATGATTGTCGCATTAGCACTTTATCAAGAAGTCAGTCAAATTTCGATAAGAATACATGAAATATAAAGAAATACCAAATTAGTATAACATTAATGAAAGCTAAAGTCCACTAATGCACATGATTAGTTGTAAAATATATTGAAGTTTATTGATCGAAAGTGAAAATTACTCATCAAAAGTTTTTCTGTTTTTGCCAAATTACTCGTCATAAAATGACCTGTCAAAGTTTTTCTGTTTTTCTGGGCGATTCCTCAAAGCTACAAGCTTTGACCTTCTTGCCATCCCTCAACAATCTAACTCCAACGGAGTTCTCTTCTCATCATCATCAGAAGGACTTACCCGTCCTTACCCCCCCTTCTCTGTTCTCACCGCCTTCAGCGTCTTCTCTCTCGTTTCTCCTGCTTCTCTCGGTCGCTCTCGCACTTTTCCATTCCCCAAGTTCTAGCTCATCAATATTGCGGTGCGGTTGGATCTGGGTGTGCCCCTTTTCTTGCCCCAATTCGAGTTTCCCCACACCCACGGAAGTGATAGCTGGGCTAAATTATCCGTTTAGTCTCCGTTGGCGTTTCTTGATTTGGTAACGAAGGCATTGGGTTTTCGAATTGGGTCGGAAATCAGGATCTTTTTTTCTTTTCTAATCTGGCGGAGAAGAAGGACAAAGCGTCCGCTTGAAAGCTCGTGAATTGGGTTTTTCTATCCTCAGAGTAGATAGGATTTTGGGATCAGGATTTTTGAAGGGGCCAAATCTGAGGCCTTTAGATAGTTTGGAATTGGTACTTTGGTGGTCTCTTTAGGTTGAAGAGAGTGGGTGTGGTTTTGGCGGGATTGAACAGGAGGAATCTGGGCTGCTGATGCCATTTGTCGATTGGCAATCGGGTGGATTTTTTCGGTGAAATTTTTTTGATATAACGAAAAAGGTTTGAGCAGTATAATGTCTTGGGCAGGCCCTGAAGATGTCTATCTATCTACTTCCCTCGCCAGCTATCTTCACAGTAAGCTTTTGCTCCAATTAAGCCATGTATAATTGTGTTTTTCGCTTGATATCATTGCATCTTGGCCAATTAACTATTTGCTTGCATGTCTTGAGGCTGAATTTTAGTGACTAAAGACCACGTATTAGGTTCAGTAAGAATGCCTTTTGAGCTTGCTGTATTCTGGGATTTTCCTTTCTTTGTATGTTTGCGAAGATGCTATTATCTATTGCGACTGTGTCTGTTGTCTAAAACTTCTTATAATGATGCTTCAAGTGATTTATAATTTGACTCGGTGCAGCTAAAGTTATAAAGTTTATAATGTTGAGGTCTTAAAGCAAGACCAGAGTGAGAGGAGGATGTCTGAGTTAAGAGTTGACTTTTACTTGATATTGAGTTATTAAATGTGGTGTGGAAGAAATGCATTGCCTGAAAAAATGACAGGATGAGCTATTTTTCCCAAAGAGAAAAGACAAGTTGACTCAGATGAGTGAGCAACCACATGTTCGAAAATTGGTTCATGTGACTTTCGCGTTTTCAATGCAAGCTCGTACTTTTCCAAATCTGGCAAAACACGTAATTATACTTCATATAAATCTGTTGCTATGTTAACATGCCTAAGAAATTCTTTTTTTTTTGCCCCTATAGTCGTCGTAGTCGTCATCATCTCTTCATCTTAATCATATAAAAAGCCTCAGCCTTGAGTTTTTCAAGCTCTATCCCAACCTTCTATTCTCCTGACATAGAAATATGATGAAATATTATACAGAGGCATCTTTACGTTGCTTTCAGCTTGCATAAATTTTCATGTGCTGTCTAATGATAGGCTTTATAGAGATCTGTGTTGTGTCATGGTGGTGATTGTGTGAATTTTCTCTTCTTGTGTGTATCATAGTCGATAGTGATGTATAGTTTCTCACAGGAGGACTGCATGCGGATCGCAGAAACCATGTTTGGAATAAAGTTTTGTTCCCCCCAAGTGTGTGAATGGAAAAGTCATTTTGATTGCAGGAGAAAAGTGTTTTAAAAGGTCTCTTGTTTCATTAGACAATATATAGAACCTGAAACGGCTTAATGTTGGATGTGATTACTTTGAAGACTGATAGTTTTAACGACTGATACAAGTGAAGGTGGAGTGAATACATAATCAAAGTGGAAATGTGACCGGCGCAGTGGTAATAAACAGAATTTCACCTCATCCCCTGCGAAATTGTCACAATTCTGTCTGTGAAGCAACCTCTCACTCAGTAGTCAATGCTATGCCAGAGCCTTCCCTGCTGAGCATTTCTCACACCCTCTTTCTTGGCTATGGCTATGTTTCCAACCACTGTTATTCTTCTATCTCAGAGCTTCTTAATTTGAGTTTTCACCTTGTCAGAAAAAGACTACCCAGTCTGTCTTAACAAAATTGGACATTCTCCAAAAACAAAGGAAGGAAAAGAAGCCGAAGAGCTATTATTGGGGGACAGTTTGTCAAAATGCAGTTACTTGGAAGTGCAAATTGTTGTGTACAATACCATACATGAGTACTGGTGAGAGCAGGTGCGAGAGAAATAGAAGCTCGTCCGCATATGCTAGACATTCACATTCACGCGCTTGCTTTAGCTTCATAGACATTCGCATTCACGCGCTTGCTTTAGCTTCATATCTTCTCTCTCTCTCTTTCTCTCTCTCCTTCCTTAATCTTGTTGCAGAACATCCTCCCTAACCGCTGCCCAATAATTAATTTTTGATGATCTGCACCCCTAATTTCATCTACACTATGATCTAAATGTGTCGCAGAATATGCAATTAGGTGCAAGGTCCCAAGAGAAGCAATGTCTATAGTTACGGCATTTTATTGCGTGAGATGTTCACGGATTGTGTTGCATTGATGACACATTGGGAGAAAATTTGACTCTTCATAGTTTTGTTGCAGTAGTTTTGCCTAAATGAGTGCAGGGAATGATGGACCATATTTTGTGTCACGAGAGAGAGAGTCGGTCATTTAGACCACTATATAGTTCTCAGCAATGGCTTTCCAAAAGTTACGGCATATTTCAAGAGCTTTTGGTCGTGGTTTATGATATTGGAGTTGCTTCTTCCATCGAAGTGCCCGGAAGATTCATGAGCATTAGCGCAATTGCAAATCAGCTGCGAATGATTAGGGAGAAACTCTTTGCTTTGGGTTTATATGGACAAGATGAACCGCCGCAGCTGATATGATAATTAGTGAACTTTTCTCACTCTGGCCATTGCATAGTTTAGTATTGTTTGTGAGGGAAGGCAGGCACGGAAAAAGCATAACCGGAGAGAAACGATCAGTTCCGTAAGAAGATCGTAGTTGATTACAATTCTTCATCAATAGTGATATCGCACCAGCATAAGGCCCGTGATGAACAGGTCTTGAGCATTGCTTTGATTTTTCCGAGTCAATCTTAGTCATAAAGTTCTTTGGTTGGTATTGATACCGATTTAGAAGGACAAAATCAATCAACTGTGGCCTATGGGAACTCTGAAAAGTAATATCACGATAAAGCTTCTTCACTGTATAAATACTTGTTCTCAGATTTTCTTTGATCTCACTATGGTCATTGTGTAAATTTCTAACGAAAAGA